AAGCAATCTATCTATCGTTGAAGCAGACTACAACGTGAACAAAGCAAATTCTATCTTCAAAATGCAGTTCCGTACTCTTCTCTTGGCGTCCGCCTCAGTCGCCTTTGCCGCCGCTACCCCAGCGTCAGAAACATCTTCAGCTGCAGGTCCGCCTGACCAAAAACCGAACTGGTGCAATCACGGATGGTCTAGCAACGGCATTTGTGAAGGAAGGGGCCTTAATACCTACTGCGTAAGTTAGACCTTTCAGTGTTTTTGGTTTTCCAACTTACTTTTGCCTGTCGTCTTTTTCTACTTGCCCGCTTGTATACGCTCAAGGCTGGGCAGTTTGTCTCCTGTACATTTAGACTGATACTAATTCCCTCCCAAAAGTGCTCCTACGCCAAGTATGGCGATTTCGACGTCCCGCGAAAAATTGAGGGTGACCCTCTAGCCTCCTTAGGTAACTGCCTCCTCTTTGGCCTTGTTTCCTGCGCTTAGTCTGCACTCCTGAATGGGTTGAGCCGTTGAGCAAGGAAGCCGGCCGCGGGTTTGGGGGGAGGGGGTGGTTGTCGTGCATTCGCGCGTCGCGAAGCTCCCCAAGTACTGTACGCGTACACATCGATGATCGAGTCTCCTTGTTCTATCTAGAATTTATAGCGATGGCAGTTGGGGCGAGTGGGATCCAATTCCGGAAATCTACCTGACAAATGCCTGGGAACGCCACCGGTGCTGTGCACAATCCAGCATCGTGATTTTCCGAATCCCCGGGTCCCGCGGTCCGCCTGTAAACATTGTTCACTTCAGGGCATCTACTACATACACAATGCACATTGCCAGAGTTCTGAGTACCGTACTCACATGCTGCATGCACATCCGTATTGTGAGACGAGGAAACGTGCAATCGAGTGCCAATGCCAGTCAGTGTCAATGAATCGGAAATACTACTTGCAGAACCATGCCAAAACGTCAATGGTCATGCAAGCCACGACAAAATTGCGGCGAGCAGACGACATGGCTAGGTATGGCGGCCGCGGGCCTCCCTCACTGGACTCCAAAGGATGCCTAGAAAAACACTCCCCAAGAAATCAAAGCCTCGCAACCGTAGCATGTGCAGTTCTTGACAATGGCATTACCCTGCGGTTCTCACCATACATGCACGCATCGGAAGACACACATCTCCGTCTGAAAGCGCATAGGGAGCAAGAGTGTTCAAGTGTGACAAGGGCCAATATTTGGGACTAGGAAGTGAGGAATGTCATTTCAGAACGTGTTACGTGATGATCGACTGTGACTCTACAAGGAACTCTAAGCCCTCGAGGTGGCCAGCGATGATATATACATGAATCGCAAGTGTCCTCCTCAGACCTCACTGTCCCTGCTGGGACCGAGGGTCTCGGTCCTGACTCCAAAGACGCGCTTCAGCGCCTTCTGCAACACTCTCCCCCAGCAGGAGATTAGACAATTATTGCCCGCTACGGGCCATGACACTAGACAACGCTGCTGTAACCGGCGACAGCAGCGGCATTTTCTCTTATTTTTCTTGATTAGTAAGATTGGGTGGCAAATAGATTTGCACGCTGCCCCGCCAACCGGCAATCCACCACACCATCTCTCGATGCACCCTTCTTTTTCTTTCTTCCACAACATCAGCTCACGATGTCTAGAATAATAGAATCTTGTCACCACTACGGAAAATGCCACACCAAACCAGACTCTAAGCGAGGCAGTCAGAGCTCTTATTGTGAGCGAGGTATAGTCGGGAATGTCATACCGCGACATCGCTGCCGAAGCGAAATGCTCAACAAGCACGGTTGGCAATATTTTTCGACGCTGGTCAACTTTGGGAATCCTTGATCCAAAACCAATGCCTGGGTGTCTGAAGAAACTAACAAATCGAAGTATTCGATACGCACTGATTTCAATTAAACGTGACCGCAGAGTTACGTATGGATCGCTCCTGAATTCCTTGGGTAACAAAGTCAAATAAAATGAGCGAATTCGGTTATCTTAGTGTCAAGCTTGGAAGGAAGATGTTGACGAATTGATAGAGGTACGGTGGTTTGAAGATGGAGTATTATCGCGGCCCTACTTTACTAATGACACCTTCAGACAACTTTCTCCGACGAATCATCAGTTCAGTCGCAACCGAGCCATAAACAGAGCTGGATCTTCCGGAAGCCTCTTTAGAAGCTTATGAGACCATTTGTTAATGTGACAGTCCATGGGAAGCTCACTTTATCGATCATGGTATGGGGAGGGGAGCAATCTGACTAGGAGGAAAATCTGACATTGTCGTCATGATCCGTGATCAAACCTCGGGAAGAGGAGGATACACTTCAAAAAGCTATCAGTTGGCTTTAGACGAGGGACTTTTACCCATATACACTGGAACACGAAGGTTTCAACAAGATAATGCGCGGATACATACATCGTAGTCGACGACTGACTGGCTACTGAACCACGCAATTGAGTACATCGACTGGCCAGCACATTCACCTGATCTCAACCCAATCGAGCATGTCTGGAAGCAATTAAAGCTTGATTTAACGACGATGTATCCTCATTTAAGCCTCCTGAAAGACAACGAAGGCGATAGAGAATATTTGAGCGAATGCATCAAGGCGGCGTGGCAAAGAATCAATCAGTCTGTTAATTGATCGATCGTCATTGCTGCCCATGCCGATCTGATGCATTCGCTCAAATATTCTCTATCGCCTTCGTTGTCTTTCAGGAGGCTTAAATGAGGATACACCGTCGTTTAATTAAGCTTTAATTGCTTCCAGACATGCTCGATTGGGTTGAGATCAGGTGAATGTGCTGGCCAGTCGATCCACTCAATTGCGTGGTTTAGTAGCCAGTCAGTCGTCGACTGCGATGTATGTATCCGCGCATCATCTTGTTGAGCCTTCGTGTTCCAGTGTATATGGGTAAAAGTCCCTTTTCTAAAGCCAATTGTTTATGTATCACTGTCCCTGCTGCAACCCCCGGCTACCTGCCTGAATATCTTGAGTGTGCCGGCAACCGCTATGCAGGTACATGCGGGTACTATGTACTATGACTGAATGAACAGAGAGCTGAGGCAAAGCTACATGCACAATTCGCCAAATCGTTGCTGTATTTTACGAAGTATCGTGAATAGAAAATAGCGGGAGCTGATCGGTTGTCACACGTGTAGGCACATCGGTCCCTTTTGCCGCTGGTGAAGCATCGCGACCCGAGTCTGGAATTTATCAGGAAAGTGGTGATAGTATTCCGTGCTGAGTAAGTTTGGTGCCCTGTGGCTTGGGAATGACCTACCTAGTACCTAAGTAAGTGCTGTCATAGCCCATCCACTGCCCAGTCCCTCGACTTGCAAGATCATTCAATTCTGCCTTCGCACTCCTGCATGGTCAACCAATCCGAGCACGGCAATTTTACCTACTTTTGGAAAGGAGGAGTCCTGGAAAGGGAATGTTCTGGAAAGGAGAGCAACTTTGGTGTTTGACTTGGTTTGCATGCTCGCTTCGGCGTCACGGGCCGAGGCGGCCAAAGGCGCACCGCTCCCCCACGGCTGCATCATCCGCTAGAGTGGAAGGACCTGGCACTTGGGAGAAATGTAGGATGGACTTTTGCTGTACCTACTCTCGAGGGCCGTGAATGACTATGTACATGTAGGTACCGATCCAGAGGAGTGACGGCGGGCTACATACATTACACACTTCGCGGGGTGGCCGTCGAGGAGATATGCGACGAGCGCCTCAGCTTCTCGCCATACCATGGAGCAGAGAACCAAGTCACGCGAGAGGAGCTCTTTCCACGAGAGCATCAGATAGATAGACTACACTCCTCCATTTGTGCTGCAGTTGCATGGGCGTATCCACTAGGTATCGATGTGAATGTAAATACGGACGGAGTACGGGCGCACGACTTTGAGAGCATCGCTTCCCGTCGGTCGGCGACTCTCCACCACTTTGGAGCACTTTCTTCTCAGATCAAATGCCGCGACAGTCAGCTCTCATCAGCGTGATGCCTCATGCCTACTCGCAGAATTGCTACATAGGGCTGACGGTCAGGCACAGCCGCACAGCGCATTTGGAACGGGCGCATTGTCTAACGTGAAACGATGAGGACGCGGCACTGCCGACGAGGAGGAGGAGGAGGAGGATGCCAGATGACACGGCGGACGGACCTCCGAGACGCAAGTTTCAGAACGCAGGCGCAGGCGCAGGAGGCCAGATATGTACCTACTGTACATACGGAGTAGGAGCAGCAGCAGATGCGACTGATGCGAATGCAATGCAAATGCGATGCGATGGATCCCGCGCGTTAACGGATGCGACATTCAATTCACGTTCACGATGGCGCATCGCTTGCGCTCGCATCGTCTTTTTGGTTTATGTCTCTGGAAGGAAGCTTGAATGCTGACTTGACTGCCACATGTTCTCATTCCGTCCTAGAAGACGTTTGTCCAGCGCCGGCTACATTTTCCATTCCTTTCGAGGCAAAAAGACTGCAAGAATCAATGGCTGAGACGTTGTTCATCCACGACCTCATTTTGAAGGAGGAAGCAACGACTGGTTGGGAAAAGTCTCGGGAACTGCAAAAAGGTCCTGCATACCAAGACTGGGGTTCGAACCCAGGAATCTTTCGATAGTGGAGATGAGCGCCATGATTACTTAAATCCACCGCCATAACCTCTCGGCCATCTTGGTGTACGTAATTTTGTCCGCTAAAGTATCCTATATACTACGTTTGGCTTGAGCGCCCGTAAATCGTAATTGTAATGGCACTTCTACCACCAACCGCATCCCATCATCAGCGCCCGGTCTGTGGCGAATTCGTCAGGGCGTCAATGCGGAATGGTTGGGCGACGTTGGAAGATAGGGACCATGCTGCTCGCATCGCCCACGGCGTAAAGGTGTATCTAACCTGACGTGAAACCTCTGAGTCCAGAGGCCCAGTTGCACTGCCTCATTTACGAGGTAGTATGCAGTTGTTCTTGTCAGGAAGCCGAAAAGCCGCCTTACTTGTGCTTTGCATTCTCCGTAAATATGTAACTAACTACTCTGTCGCCGGAATTCGAATCAGCTGCGTTCGCGAGACGCGGCAGCGCTGGCACTTGACGAGAATGGGGATTTACTGATGCTCCCCGAGCAAACCGGCATGATGCACTTGGCGGCTCTGCAAGGGCCATGTTCGAGAACGTTGTTTGTGCAGCTAGAGTGGCATACCATATGTATGTAGAAAGAAACGTGTCTCGCCAGGCGCTGCACTGAAGCCGGTTTGGCAACATGAATAAATGATCATCACTTTTGCAGATGATGTCAGAATTGCATGGAGCTGGGCTTCGGCTTATGAAAGATCTTTTGGCTTCAAAGGCAAAACCTCTTCGAGCCGTCGATTCAATCGCGATCCGATCGCAAAATGCAGTGTAACAAACTCTAGCATGTTGAAAGAATGTGTCCGTCCCTTGGCCTTTGTTTGCGCTGGGAACCGCAAGGCGACGTCGGCACGGTTACGAGACCGATTGCTCCCCAGTAAGTATCTACAATACAGTCTTCTTTTTCAATGACGCAGAATAAACTCATCGCCCTGTCTGGGACCCTTGGCCCTGCAAGAACGCTTACCGCGCTGTTGGCTGAAAAAGTCCCGATATTGCACACACGAAACGATTCTATAAACTCAAATATTTCTTGCCCAAGCTGTTACAATTGATTCTTTCACAAACGTTCTGCAGGAAGGGAAGAGTCATCTTGCAAACCCCGAGCAACCTTACGGCAGCAGACACCAGCCCCTGATTCAGTCACACCACGGATCGGTGGTAGTGTTGCATTGCTCCTATATCCCGAGCCGGCGATGACGATAATCCAGCGAAGTGGTATCTATTCAGGAACACAAAACCTTAAGAGCGATGTATTCACCATTTTCGGTATCATGTCTCAGCCAGCAGAGATCGCGCATGGCGGGCGCCGGGAGTTGGGTATCGACTTTCAGGCCGATAGCCGTCGTCGGTCTTTCAACTTGTACATCAAATGAGCAACCGCATTTCCCTGCGGAAGATCATATTGATGCGAATGCCTTGTGGATCGCGCTGCAGGGCTTGGGTATGTAACAGCGTTTCAGCCCATCGCAACCCATCGTCCATGGCGCAACACCATCGGCATATGCTCTCGGGGCAGTATACCGCAACCTAGAGCTTGGCTCCGGCGGATTCAAGACGATAACCGGTCACCGATAAGATCTATCGCAGGCCATTTCAAGAGGCTTGAAGATTTCCTGCCAAAACGTCAGATGTAAATCTTCACGCAAGACATCTTTCACCACCTTTTAAACATCCCTCTCCTCCAGTATCTCCTCCAGTATCTCCTCCAGTATCCTAGTCATGATCGATGAATTGGCAGCAGAGGGGGGCGAGAGAGTTCCTCAGGCCTTCCTTCTTTGACCCTGCACCTGGCCTTGTAAGCTCTTTGATCGTACCTGATCACCTTCACCAGTTCAACCGTCGTCAACGTCTAGGGGCGCAACGATTTTCTCACCATCAGCCTAGAAGCTTGGCCCACCGAAAGTGACCCAGAGCGATGTACGGCGTCTAGGGCATGCGAAATTTTGAAGTCTCTCATAGTTGGATCACATTCACGCAAGCAACACCATACCGTCCCCCGATTTGAGCTCGATAAATTGATAAGATGGAGAGGCATCTGTGGTTGCAGATTGCCTTTGCAACTCTTCTTCACGCTTCACGGCTTCTTTAAAGGAATAGCTGGTTCGCTGCAACAGGGGTGCAATGAAGCCTCCCCCTTTTTTCACCTCATCGTGCGTCGCTATCCAGAACTTGGCTTTACACATGTTGGCAGCTTTTATGCCGTTCAGTGCGCCGAGATTGAGCTGCTTGGTCATCCATATGCGCACGTCGTCAAGGCCGTGCAGAAGGGCCAATGTGCTGAGGCCCGACGTTTCAATGCTAGCTAGAGCTTTACTTTCAATGCCGTGGGGAGAATAAATGACAGCTTCGCCTTTGTCGCCTTGGCCGAGGTTAAACGCGATGAGGGATGCGGCATGGTAATACAAGGCATTCCCAGGTGTGATGACGCGTCCGATTGCCAACCAGTCTGGCAATGGACCAACAGTCAGACGGGACCATTCAACGCCGGCACCCAGAGCTGGCGTAGTGATAACTCGATGGAAATACCGCCAGCTTCGTATCAGGTCTGCCGCAACGTCTGAAGCAAAAACGGGTGTAGAACGAGGTAGTTCAAGCAGCGTGCTCTGGTGACAGTGATCGGTAAACTCGTGTGAGACGACGACTGCATCAATCATAGACACCGACGACTCCCGAGCGCGTGACTCCCGAGCGCGTGACTCCCGAGCGCGTGACTCCCGAGCGCGTGGCTGGAACGGAGGCGAGTCTGCTGTGCCCGAGGCTGGGTCTTGGTCGGGGCCAGACGACTGCTGGTGGTCGTTGGGACTGCATTCAATGTCTCGAAGAACATCGTTGAGGTCGTATATAGTTGCGACGCTTGGAGCAACAACGTGCCACTGCGTGCTGAATATTGCATGGACATCAGACTGTGGCCCCTGCAGCCATGGGTCAATGAGGATGTTGAATCGCCGCCGGCCTTGGGGCACGACGGCATCTGGTGGATACGGCAATTGAAGCAGCCATGTTGTGTCCGCATTGACGTGGACTAGGATAGGACGTGGAACAGTCCGTGTCAAAGTGGCCCATTGCTGATTCGCATCGCCAGCCACTCGGAAACGCGGCGGTGTCGAGAACGCTGGCGGTGAAGACGGCTGCATTTCGTTACCTGTATGTATTATGTAGCTGAAGCGGATCTGAGGTCACTCAGATAGAGACAGCGCTCCTGGATGTGAGATGAGGGACGACTCGAGCCTCGCAAGCAGCCGACAGAGATCGGCCGAGACTTGATAAGAGCGCAGCTCGTCGTCCTTGCATGAGAGGAGATGGCCTCGAAGTTTGTGTCCTCGTGGTACCGTATACCTGGGAAATTCGTGTGGCGGGTTCTCAGCCCGTTGACTGTGCAATGCAGTGCACGACGTTTATCCCGACAAGCAGAGATCAAAGCGACTGGCGTTGCGACGTTGAGACTTGGGATAAGGAGAGGTTGGTTTCGGCGTGTACCCGACCCGAGGAAGGCGCGAAGTGGAGACATGACGGCAACTCTGAAATTGACGTCGTCCATCCGTCTGGTGTCTTGTTACTCGACTTATACCCGTCATGGACAAGTCATCTGAAAACCCTGGTCAATGGCGAACGCTTCCGGATTTACCTACACATGATTGCATCGTGCAGCATGCAGGAAGGCGTACCTACAGGTGTGCATGTGCAAGGTACCTGAGATCGCAAGTACTCAGAAGTAGGTATGTATGCATGTGCTGAACTATGTATGTATTGTACCTATGTATCTACCTCTATTGAGACTTGGCAAAATGAACTCCCCAACTTTGACTGGATGAAGTGAGGAAAGAGCGGCCTCGGACAGCAACTCGGCATGTCACCTGACCACAGGCCAGGAAAAACATCAGGTCATTCATTTCGCCTCCAACCATCCATCATGCAAGTCTTAATTCTTTGATTACATCGACGCTGCTAGCCGTTGCTCAGTCCTCTTTGGTCCGGACACATGGTCGCATTCATTCGCATCTCCTTGTCTTCATTGCTGATGACGACAGACGCCATCTGGCAGCCGGCAAAGGGACCCATATGCCGGCGCTGGGACACTAGTCGAGCCCCTTTTCCTCAAATCGGGCAGTAGAGCAATGAGGTCATCTCAGGACGCGCTCGTTATGTAATGTAGCTCATGCATCTTTATCTTTCGTGACCGTTGGAATACCATTCACAACATATTTTTGACTGCTCGATTCTGCTAAAACTGAGGAGCAGACATTGATGACTCTGTGCCCGTGCCTCGATGGAAAGAGGGGTTCAGAATCCCACTTTTGTTGCGGCATTGGAAGCTGCAATGGAAGAGGGACAGAAGGCCAAGTTCGGAACCCGAGTCAACCATCATGGTGCTCTCATGGCCCATGGGATTGAGGTGGGAGCATTCTCTCCCCTTTTCCGCGCAATGGCCAAACGAACTGCAGATCTCAACGATAATTGGTACATACATCTACCCATGAAAGCGAATTACAGACAACTCAGACATTATGGCGTCTAGGTTAGAGCCGTTGCGCTCGCGGCCCTTGGACTTTTGGTCCAATTGGCCGCCGACAGTTCCTCATGCAATCTTACTTCTGCTATGCGCATTGACATCTATCTGATGGTTCAATGGATGATAATACGTCAAGAACATCTTCATCCTGTCTCTGCGGAGATTTTTTTTTTTTGGGAAGCGGCTTGACCCACACATGCAACTGTCTTAGCAAGGGCTTTCCGGTACAAACTTGGGCACCACTTCAAGAGTGAGGTCTGCCTGTCTCGGCCGTTTAGTCGTAGGCTAAACCAACCGGCCATGTATTGTTTGACTCTCAGCAGCAGGGAACTCTAGGTGCCGAGCTTGCGAGTGGTGGCGTCAGACGACTACCTCGGTCTCGAGAGGCCAGATCGTCTGCCATGGGCCCATAGCCCATGATCCGGCACTATCCAACTACTCCGTAAACCTACCTAAATTCACTGCTTTGCATCCGATCTGCCGGCCGAGCGTGTTGGTCTCCAGCCGACCGGATTGGCGGGGCCCGGCCAATTAGCACT